GATCGACTGGTAGATCACGATCAACGTATTGGGCACCCCTGCACTAAACCATAGAAGTGATCTCCTGTACCTGTAAGACTTCCCCTCTCAACGTCTCTAAGCTGCGTGATTCTCCTTCTTGCAAAATGTTAAGTTTGGAGCGAGCCAGGTGTAGCGGGGTCCTGCCTGCTCGATCGAGGGCATCCACACGGGATCCTGAAGACAAACAGTTAGAAACTACTTGTTCACACATTTAGATTAAAAAAAAACTGTACTAACTTCTAAATTGTAATAAATATTTGATTATGCCATTTAGAGTAAAAAACAATCAACGTGTCTAAACTTACATAAACATGTTACTGTTTGAACAATGATTACAGCCGTTTCAAAGTTTATAAGATGTGCTGTTGTGTGTTTTTGTACACTTGAGGTTAGATTTAGGTAGGTTTAGATCCTGATAAAGACCCGATCTTTGTATTTACAATCATTCTTTTTCCCTGTCTGTAAAATGTTTGGAGGAAAAAACTTGATTTTGTTCACTTTTTTTTTTTCCAAGCAAACAAGAAGTGTCTGTCTTCCAAAGGTCTTACCTCCTCTCAGCAGCGTGGTGATGACAGGCACGTGGTTGGTACAGGCCGCTGAAGGAACACAGAAAAACACAAATATATTTCCTTTGAATTTTTACTCGTCTATTGACTTTAACAAATTCAAACGTTAAGCAACTGTAAAAAATATAAATAAATAAAAAACATCAGTATCTGCAGGTTTTGCATGGTCAGAGTTGTTCTTACCCAGATGCAGAGGGGTGTTCCCCAGGCTGTCTCGCTGGTTGGGGTCAGCACCGTAGCTCAACAACAACTGAACTGTAACATAAAAAAAACTGATTTAAAGGAAAGGCTTAAGTTTCAGCTTCTTCTTGCTGCTTCTACAATGAAGTTAGCTACTTCAGCAGACTTCTGTGTTAAACACAGCTTCGACTGCAGGAGCCTGCTGAAGAGGATATTTTAACATCTAAATATGAAATTGTTGTGTTTTACATTTCTGCTGCACATGCTGCAGTGGATGAGTGGGTGAAGAATGAATAAATATAATTATTCAGAAACAAACCAAAAAAAAAAAGAAAAGAGAATCAGAGCGATAAAAGAGTAATTCATTTCTGTGCTGTAGTTTTAACAGCAGTTATATTATAACACATAAATAACAAAATCACACTGAAAGATGCAAAGTGTATGTCCTTGTTTCACAAAGTCACTCACCGTGCAGGAAAGAAAGCAGCATGTGACCAAATACTCAGTAAATCAGATAAACTAACCTTTGATTGTTTTCACATTAGTTACATGTAAAGCCATAAATACAGTAAAAGCAGCTGCAAACCATTTATCACACTTGAGCTGAAGTTTAATTTAGAATTTTAGTAGAGAGGCAAAAAAAAATATATATATATATATACGTTATCTCACTGAAAAATGCTGCACGAGGTTGAAGGCTTTGATTAAAATGGGTCATTTTTATTTTAAACTCAATACAGGCAGAAAAAGGAAGAGTGACAGTAAAGGAGTGTGGGTAACCTTTCTCTCATAACTGGACAGAACATCAGTTCAGGTACAAACCATTAATACTGTTTTCTTATGACAGTATTAATGGTTGAACTCCAGCTCATATTTGGCCTTTGTGGTGATGTAGGGAGTGCTGGGGGTGGACAGAAGCGGAAGAAAACTTCTTCTCTGTGTGTTTAAACCTTTTGAAGAGCTGTTATCATAAAATACTGATTCTCTGACACCCTAAAGTTTAACTGCACCAACGGGAGCACAGCTGCTGTCAGCACTCTACAATAAAAACACAAATAAAGTTTGTACTGAGCCCCTTCTCGTTTGCTCTGGTGATGGACCGACTAACAGATGAGGTCAGTCAGGAATCCTCGTGGACTATGATGTTT